CATATATGACAACTCATAAAAAATAGGGGATAGATTGGATAAAATTTTTATTTTGCCAGGACTTTTGACGTGAAATCCATCTTTTTTATCTTAATACAATAGAAATTGAGATAATTAGATCAAATCTACTCTAGATTACATTAAGGTTTTAATGCAGTTGGATTCTGTACTGGAAAATGCTTGTAAGGTCCCGAAAACACAGTAAATGTCTTCCTGCTCTTGTATGTTTTGAAGGAATATTCCGCAAGAATTTTGAGGGAAGAAGTTATAGGAATAGTTCTGTAAAATATATATATATGGGACGTTTCACGTCAACCGGCCCACAGCTCTGTCCAAAAATCTACTAAACGAAAATTGACTTATTATGGCTTAAAATAACCGTTAGCTCATACTCTCTCAAATAAAAAGTGGCGAATTCAAAAATTCAACATGGCGTCCTTACTGTGACAACTTTTTCCAATTTTTTTACTGACTCAGCAAACAAATGTATTAATTATCTTGAACAAATCATTGCTATTAGTTAGAGAATAGGTCACTCTTATGTTTTTGGGGTCGCCGAAAATGAATCTGAAGTCAGATTAAAAAAATTTTCAAAATTCAAAATGGCGAATCCAATATGGCAGACAGGTTATTAAAAACTTAATGGATTCGCTTGAAACTTGTTACTCGGGGGTTTTTGGGGTCGCTGATTACGAATCTGAAGTCAGATTTCGAAAATTAAAAATGGCGGATTCAATATGGCGGACATTTTTTAAAAAAATTCAATGGATTTGCTTAAAACTTGTTATTCGGGGGTTTTTGGGGTCGCTGATTACGAATCTGAAGTCAGATTTTGAAAATTCAAAATAGCAGATCCAATATGGCCGATATATTTTTGAAAAATTCAATGGATTTGCTTGAAACTTGTTACTCGGGGGTTTTTGGGGTCGCTGATTACGAATCTGAAGTCAGAGTTTAAAAATTCAAAATAGCAGATCCAATATGGCCGATATATTTTTGAAAAATTCAATGGATTTGTTTGAAACTTGTTACTCGGGGGTTTTTGGGGTCGCTGATTACGAATCTGAAGTCAGATTTTGAAAATATTAAATTATTTAATTAATTTGATACTTCTAACTCAGGAGTTTTTAAAATGGCTGTTTATAAATCTGTAGTAAATATTAAGGTTTTACTGTTGGGTTAAGGTTCTCATTAAATGTAAAAAAAGAGTTGAATTTCAACTCTCTTGGGGACGTTATAAAAGTACACCCTTATGGAATTAAAGCAAAAGGAGAGTTAATAATTTACGAATTAATTTCATTACTAGGGCGTTAGTTTTAAGGACCCGGTAAGAAGCGAATAATTGAAAAGAATTCAGAGTTCCAATTCTTTTGAATTAGTGAATTTACGTTTTTGTTCAATTCCTCGATAAAGCAAAAAAAAGTAGAAAAATCTATTCTTCTTAATTGACTTGGTCAAAATTTATACTCTAAATTATACATATAACCTGACGCAGTCAATTGTAAAATATAGAAATGCCTCATTTATTCTCCACATTTTCTATTCCTCTAAATGTCCTCCAAATGTCCTGAGCTATAGTCAATTTATACAAATAACCACATGTACTTCACTTTTCAAATTTCTTATTCCTTTCATGGAAATTTTGAAGCTGGCGATTGAAAGGAATAGACATTTAGAATTTACTCTCCAAACATTTAATTTTTTTCTATTCGCTGCCAAAAAGTATGAAAATAAAGAACTTTGCGCATTTAGAAAAATAGAAAGTTTGAATTCTTTTCTATTGACTTATCTGTACTGGGAATAGAAAAGAATTCGTTTTTTTGATATTTAGATGTTCACTGGAGAATTGGGTGAAAACGTAAATACGCATATTCAGAATAACTGAAAATGATCAAGTTTTGCTTAATATATGCAAAATTTCAATCTTTCTCTATTTCTCGCTTCTTACCGAGGAGTTAATATAATTATTAACTCTCTTTTTGAGTTGATTTTTAACTTGAAAAATTTAACTTCCAACTATTATTGTTAATTTTATAAGTTGCAAAATTACGAAAAAATTGCAATTTTTTCGTGGAATTAGAAATAGTTTGTAAATAACAATAATTAAAATAACAATTTTATTAAAGTCCGTATTTCTTATTATACTTAATTCGGTAAGTTGCAAAACTAGGGAAACATTGCATTTTTTGGTGGAATTAGAAAAAAGTTTGTAAATAACAATAATAAATTGTTTAAACAGTAGTTAAAATTTTGAATTTTCAAAATCTGACTTCAGATTCGTAATCAGCGACCCCAAAAACCCCCAAATAACAAGTTTTAAGCATATCCATTGAATTTTTTTAAAAAATGTCCGCCATATTGAATCCGCCACTTTGAATTTTCGAAATCTGACTTCAGATTCGTAATCAGCGACCCCAAAAACCCCCGAGTAACGAGTTTCAAGCGAATCCATTAAGTTTTTTAAAACCTGTCTGCCATATTGGATCCGCCATTTTGAATTTTGAAAATTTTTTTAATCTGAATTCAGATTCATTTTCGGCGACCCCAAAAACATAAGAGTGACCTATTCTCTAACTAATAGCAATGATTTTTTCAAGATAATTAATACATTTGTTTGCTGAGTCAGTAAAAAAATTGGAAAAAGTTGTCACAGTAAGGACGCCATTTTGAATTTTTGAATTCGCCACTTTTTATTTAAAAGAGTATGAGCTGACGGTTATTTTAAGCCATAAAAAGTCAATTTTCGTTCAGTAGATTTTTGGACAGAGCTCTGGGCCGGTTGACGTGAAACGTCTCATATATATATATAATATAAACATTCAAAAAAATTATAGAACATGACCAAAAGAGATTATCAAAACAATTTCTAAATGATGTATAAAATGTATACCTATTACACAGGTCTACAAAATAAGACTTTTTTTTTCTTTTTAGATATCGGAGTGGTTTCCTATGTATTTTTGTGCGCTGAATCCAATCCCGGGTTAAATAATTGCATATCACGTCAAACTACTTTTCTAAAGATCAATCTAATTGTCCTAAAACTTGTTACTTGGGGGTTTTCGGGATGAATAGTTACATATCTGATTATATTTTTTTTAATTCAGAATGACCGACGCAATATGTCCTAATATGACACAGTGAAGGTGATACTAGGTCATGTCCAACCAGCAAAGGTAGGACTAGGTTTTGCCTAGCTAGCCATGGTAAGACTACGTGATATCTAAATTGAGTGTAAACTACAGTTTCTAGTACGTCAGGTGGGATATGATATACTTTTATCCTCGAGGCAGTTAGATGAATAGCTCGTTTGATTTTGTCTACCATTTTGGATCCGCAATTTTGAATTAAAAAAACTGACATCGAATTCGTAATTAGCGACCCCGAAAACCCCCGAGAAACGAGTTTAAGGCAAATTCGAACGGTTTTTAGAAAAGTCGTCCGCCATATTTGATCCGCCATTTTGAATTTATAAAAACAGACATTAGATTTGTAATCAACGACCCCAAAAATCCCCGAGTAACAAGTTTTAGGCCAACTGGATCGATTTTTTAGAAAAGTCGTCCGCCATCTTAGGTCTGCCATTTTGAATTTTTCAAATCTGACATCGTATTCGTAATCAGCGACCCCGAAAACCTCTAAATGCAGAATATAACAAAAATTGCGGTATTCTAAAAAAATTGGGCGTTAAAGGGTTAAAAAACAGTCAGGTCAGGTTAAGGGGGGCGCCTACTTTATCGGATCAAAAAAATCGATTTTTTAAAAGTTATCTTAACTGAAAGTACAACTATCAGAGAATATGCTCTTAAAATATTACGTCAAAATACAAAGTATTTTTCGAGTTACAGCTTGTAGAACGCAATAAAGCGCGTGGCCTGGTGCGCGACTCCACTCGCGGTCTCTAATACTTTTCATAATTTGTTGCGCTTATCTACTATTACACCTACCATTAAAAGTACCATTTTTATGAGGATGCTGAAGGGCTAATGTATGGACCTGGCATTGTCGATTAGCCTGTGACTGGCGTAAGTTTTTAATAAACAGCACTTATATGTTTTTCAATCTTTAAACTAGTTTTTCTCAAAACACTGTTTTTGTAGTTTGCGTACACGATAGACACGTTTTTGGGGTTTTTACCCCCACTTTTCTCAAAATCCTGACGTGGTATATAATTCTGGAACCCGAGATCGGATTCAGCGCACAAAAATACATAGGAAACCACTTCGATATCTAAAAAGAAAACCTTGTAGATTTGTGTTATTAAAAATACTTTTAAAAAGTATTTTGTACGCAATTTCTCGGAATCTTTTTGTAAAATCTTCTTAAAAGAAAATTTCCAAATATTCCAGGAATATTCTTTTAACTTATCCCACCAAATTCTCCAGGAGTATTTCAGGAAGATTCCTTCGGAACATTTAAGAGCAGGTGGACATTTACTGTATTCCCGGGACCTTCCAAGCATTTTTCAGTAGAATATGCCGAATATTACAGGAATATGTTGTGTTATCTGGGAATGTTTACAGTATGAATGATTAACTATTTTCACTCTACGCATATCGAGTGTACCACCGACAATTTCTGACGGCACTGTATATAACTGTAAAACTATTTTATTATAGTACTTTAAAAATGTCTATTGTTGAGTAATTCGTAAGTTGTACTGAACTGGTAGTCAAGCCCAGTTTAATTCAGTAACCATCCAGTACCACTTTTTGGCAGGGAAATTTAACCGAGCCCATTCTAATTCATTTGAAATTAATCGAATTTTGATAATTAAATGTCCCGAAAAAATAACTCGACCAGCGCGTCACACGAATGCCCCTACTTGAGCCAGACTCTAGCTGTAACGGGTTATGTTATTTGATCGGCATACTTAATTTGCATATCTCTAGATTTAATTGACTTACACATAATGTTAATTTAGTTTTCATTTAAAAAATGGATAATTGAATTAATAGTAGAAGCGTTCTATATCATGATTATTTAGTAAGTTTTCTTACCTGGCTTCTTAATGGGTGAGTTCGATAATGTGTAATAAGGCTATACAAACTATCAAAACAATTAGTATCGATAAGATAATATTGCGTTTGTCCCATATCTTGTTTTAATTTTATTCGACAATGATTTACTTTATTTCTTCTCCAAAATGATAGACAATAATCTCCAACAAATGTTACACATTGACGAACTAAAAAAGTACCATCTCCAAGATGAGAGTATTGTTTGAGTAAGTTCTCAGCTTCTTCTCTTCCATTTGCTAATTTTCCATGAAACCACATTTCACCAAAGTGTAATTCATCATTAGGCACTCCCTTTAATTTAAAACAAATTATTTGTGAATTACTTGATTTTTCTATAACTAATTTTGAGATAGGGTAACGGCACCAGTGAAAGAACATTTAAGGAAATGCATACTTTTATCATTTATTATTTTTGAATGCAGTTATTGAAAATTTTTTTACCAATTTTTTTTCGATAGCTAATTAAGTGTAGAATGCGAAGGTCATATTTAATTTTCATAAATATAAGATGTTAATTAAAATTTTAATTAATAAGTAAAACATACCTATTTCACCAGTGAAAGAACAAATTGTCGAATGAAAGAATTTTCTGCATCCAGTGAAAGAACAATGTGAAATATATATTTAAAATATATTTAAAAAATATATTAAAACAAAGATAAAGTAATAAAATGTTTGTAATATACTAAAATAAAGGTAAATTAATGATAATTATGAATATTTTTTAACTAAGTTTGCAGAATCTTATTTTTAATTGAAAATGCATTTATAACCTACAATCAATCATCTAGTTGCAATTTATTTTGACAATATTATTGTAACCTAACAGTGTTAACCTATTTGATTTTGTCATTTTTTTGTTTGACTTCAGACTATTCGTTGAAGGTGTTCCTTCATTGGATTGCATTGGAACCAGTGAAAAAACATTTCTGTTCTTTCACTAGTAAATAAAAAAAAAAAAACCCAATGACGGAATTTGCTTTTCTTATGGCAAATTAATATTTTATTAGCTTTTAAATGAAAAGAAGTATTTCTAATACACAAGATAAATTTAGTTTAAAGAAGACCGACGATTTAAGGCAGTTTAAATTAGTTAAATGTGAAAAAAGAAATAACGTGTCAGAGAAGAGTTCTTATTGTTGAAGATAAATTTGCAACACAACATTTAAAAAAATTTTTTTTTATAAAATTTATGTGTTAACTCTCTAGGTATCTTAGATACTAAAGACGTAAATTAAATAAGGAACATAAAAATATATAATTTATAATACCAAATTGCTTATTACACTAATTAGAATGCAAAACATGAAATTTGTTCTTTCACTGGTGTCAGTTCCTTCACTGGTGCCGTTACCCTATATAAGGAATGATAATTAACATACATCACTTGATTTTCGAATAGTGTTATTTTCTTCATCATCCATTTCTGAGTCTTGAGATTTTGAAAAAGTATCAGTATAAAATAAATTTTGATTTGTTAAAACAAAAAAATGAGGATACCATAGTCTGTCAACATGATCCTCCAAATACAGAATACCATTTTTAATGCTATTTCTTAAGTCCACTTCTTGCTTGCTATCATCATTTCGTATAACAAAAGAGTCTTCATCTACTCCATCTGGCAATTTCTTGTGTTTAATTATAATCTTTTTACGCAATACATCTGGTGAAGGTAAAGATGCTTCGTTCTTATCAATAGATTGCATTAGTAACATATCCCCGAATACCTCTTGCATTGCAGCTGCCATTTTACGTTGTTGAGGTAAAGTACAATTATCTTCTATAGAAAGTATCACTGGATAACTAGATATATTTAATTAAAACTTTAAATACAATAAACTAATAATAATAATCATCGATATATACATATATGGCTCATTTCATTTAAATTGTCATATTCCGCCTCTAATAAAGTTGAGTTCTTGCTAGACGGTATTTTAGCAGAAATCGTTAAATTTTATAAAGACTTTTTTCTCAGAATTATTAATAAAATAATGATTAATTTGACTATATTTTTTCGTTACTTTCTTTATTTCTGCTTTCGGCAAGAAACGAAGAGTTTACTTTACTTTTTTCCAACAGTTAGTGTATTAGGAAAGTTAAAAAAATTATTTCATGACTATTTACCTGTTCATTATTATTCTAACGCAGAACTTTTTCTGGAAGTTCGGAACATCCATGATATTAATTATAAAAAAATATTACACAAATATTTTCAAAATAATTTTTCTTCATACTTCGGTCGAAAGCACGTATCTCCCGCATCGACTTCACAGCAGAAAGTCGAACATTTGTGCATTGCTATAGCAATGCCACGGTCGTATAAACAGGTCTCGAATCTCTGGTGGTGAGGGCATTGGGATTACTGACCATTGTTTGTTCCAAAACGCTAGTTCCGAAAGTTGTCACCGCCCCCTGAGGGCGCAACACGATAGAGGTGTATGGCTTGCTTACATTTTGACTAGTTCTAACCTCAAATATTGGAACTTTTATTTTAAATTATTATATTTTTACGTGTTATGTATTTTTTCCTGTTTGTGCGTTATAAAAAAACAAAATGCCTAGTTTGTATTATATAAACAATTGTAATAGAAAGAATATGAATAACAAGCGAACCGTTTTCAAAGTTCCGAAAAATAAAGAATTAAGGAAAAAGAGGTTAGATGCAATACCCGGTAAACAGAGCCTCAGATCTTCGCAACACGTTTGCGAATATCATATTGATGAAAAACACATTATGCGCGAATTCTTTCGCACAGATTCAAACGGAACAGTTATTGCAAAGGTAAGGTTTTACATTCGTAATAAATAATAGTAAATGTTCTTTACATATTGCATATTTTTTGACCGTTCAGAATATTTCTTTCCACATATACCCAAGCAGCACGATATATTCCCTGAATATCCGTTGAATACCACAGTGGAATATTCTCATGATCTTCTAGGAAAATCAAAATGTCCGCATCATGGGAATATTCTATAGTGACATTCAGGGTATATTCCAGTGACATTGAGGGAATATTCCTCGGTGACATTCATGGAATATTCCAGTGACATTAAGGGGATATTCAGGTGATATTGTGGAAATATTCCACAGTTACATTGAATTTTTTTTTAAAATGTGTTTTTAATCTTCCTGCTTATTCAAATAACAATTTATAACACATTTCTATTATTTCAACACTTAAAAAAAAATTCAATATAACCGTGGAATATTCCCTCAATATCACTGGAATATTCCTTTAATATTACCCTCAATGTCACTGGAATATACCCTGAATGTCACTGTGGAGTATTCCCATGATGCGGACATTTTGATTTTCCTGGAAGATCATGGGAATATTCCACGGTGGTATTCAAGGGAAATTCAGGGGATATACCGTGCTGCTTGGGTAAATAAATTGACAACAGAAATTTTAACTGAAGCTTTAAAACAATTTTTTTCCTTGAAGCGTGAGCAGAGTTTTTAACAGCTTTGTCTCACGAAAAAATTTTTTTGCAATATTGCACCATTTTATGTGAATATATTTTTTGAAGATTCTACGTACTTTTCAAAAAAAATCTATTATTTTAATATAATGAGCTTTAATGATCGGATCGGACTGTAACTTGCACATAATTTAGCCCTAGGGGTGAGTGATTTAACCACGAAGTATTGTTAGGATTTTTCAAAAACTGTCAGAGAGGGAGGAGCTTGAATTTTTTTAAAAAATTTAAACAGTGAATTTTTGAAGACTTGTAACTTTTAAACAAAGAAGAAAAAAATGTGTCCTTTATGTTTTCAAAAGATTTTTTCCTGATCTTTCAAATGGTGCAACAAAATTTTCAAAAAATTCAAATTATGACCCTCCTTTTTGAAAATTAAACATTTTTTCGAATTTTTTTTTAAGTTCGGTCCTTTTTTTTATTTATTTTTTTTTAAGATAAAAATGTGCTTTTTCACCACAAAAATTATTGCGATCTCCTTTTTTGTTATTTTCGAGATATTAATTAATTAATTAATTAATTAATTAATGTTAATAAAAATTGAAATATTTCACAAATAAATAAAGTTATTGCAATTCTGAAGATACCAATTGAAAGCTGACGTAATTCTGCATCCAACGAGCCCTATATGGACTGTTTTCGATTAGAGGATTTTTTATAAACAATTGTCATGGTAGCCAATTGTTTATTAACAATTTACTAACCCAAAGTACTTCATATAGGTCTCGTTGGATGCAGAATTATGTCAACTTTCATTTAGAAATAACAGAATTACGATAACTATTTGTTTATAAAATATCCTCTAATCGAAAACAGTCCATATAGGGCTCGTAGGATGCGGAATTTCGTCAGCTTTCAATTGGTATCTTTAGAATTGCAATAACTTTATTTATTTGTGAAATATTTCAATTTTTATTAACATTAATTAATTAATTAATTAATTAATTAATATCTCGAAAATAACAAAAAAGGAGATCGCAATAATTTTTGTGGTGAAAAAGCACATTTTTATCTTAAAAAAAAATAAATAAAAAAAAGGACCGAACTTAAAAAAAAATTCGAAAAAATGTTTAATTTTCAAAAAGGAGGGTCATAATTTGAATTTTTTGAAAATTTTGTTGCACCATTTGAAAGATCAGGAAAAAATCTTTTGAAAACATAAGAAACACATTTTTTTCTTCTTTTTGTTTAAAAGTTACAAGTCTTCAAAAATTCACTGTTTAAATTTTAAAAAAAAATTCAACCCCCTTCCTCTCTGACAGTTTTTGAAAAATCCTAACAATACTTCGTGGTTAAAACACTCATCCCTAGGGCTAAATCATGTGCAAGTTACAGTCCGATCCGATCATTAAAGCTCATTATATTAAAATAATAGATTTTTTTTGAAAAGTACGTAGAATCTTCAAAAAATATATTCACATATATGGTGAATGGTGTTTTTGCAAACAAGGAAATGAAAAAGGAAAAATCAAAAGGTACTTCATATTTTTTTAATTTGACGCCATGCTTTGTTATATAAGAATCGGAATTAAATGATAATATGAGAACTACTGTTGAATTTTTTTTTAATTTTTAATTTAAAATGAAAATGCAATTTAATTCTTCTTTCGTTTCATTCACAGAGACTGATAGTCATGAGTGTGTCACTGACCCTTTAACAACTGTGGAAAAAATAAAGTCAGATGTAAATGGTAAGTAAAATAATTGAAAACCACCTACATTTAAAAAATAAATCTCTTTTAATTAAAGTCAACTGATTTTCGCATATTCTTAAACATAATTTTGCTTTCTAAAAATTTTTTTGTTTACTATCAATGTGTAGAATGCCATTTTTTCAATTCTTATCGACTTGGAAAAAACGTTTTTCATTCTTTTCATTTTATTAAAATACATTTTTATTCTTTTGCATAATGATTTTATATTTTTTATTTTGTGATAAAAATCATAAAATATGTTATCTAAATATTTGAAATCATTCTTTCTAAAGTATTACATAAAATAGGCCAAAATGTCACCCTTTTATCTTTTAAGCGTTCTGATTTGACAAATTTTTATTTATAGCGCATACATTTTTTTCGACGGAGTATAACAAGGAAAGGGATCATTCAAAATGTGATAGCAATCAGAATAATGCAACAACGTTTGTGACATTTAACAAATCCGTGTCTTTTCAATTTATAAATTTATCTAAGTATTTATGACTCACTGACATTATAGTAATGTATGACTTGTATTATACTTTAATGATTTATTGTTTCTGGAGGATATAGATGTCAATGAAAAATCGTATTCAATAAATATAGTTCAACCGTGAATTGTTACTGAAACAATAAACGGTACAAACCGACAACTCTTGTTTACTTATGCACAAAGTGTAATGGAAAAAGATGTTTGCAAACATGTGTTTGAAAAAAGTGTTGTCATCAATACTGACAGACAAGTACAATATGAAGTCTATCCTTTACAAGTAAATGTTGATGAAACAAGTCTTCCTAAAATTGTACGAAATATTAAAAGTATACCAAAAATCTTAGAAAATTTTTCAAGTATTCGTGTATGTAGAGGCATTGTAGAAGAGAGTACACATTTGATGTTGCCAGAAAATATAACTAGTAGTGTTTATGCAGGTGCTTGGCATCATTACAATTGTTCCCTCATCAATGATTGAATTTTATTTGTCCCGTCAATATGAGGTATTTTGTTGATGTGAAGAAACCATTGTGTTCTGTAGAAGACTGAATAATCTTTTCAATGCATTAAATAGAAAACAAAGCAATCAAGGTGTTACTCCAAATTCGAAAGAGTTTTTGGTATACTTTTGTAATAATATTTTAATAGTATAGTAAGATTTGTTCTATAATTGTTTATTATATATTAAGTAGGTTATACAAGAATCACTCCAATGGTTGAACGACTTGGAACTTCGTTAATTGCAAGACCTTATTGATCCGAGCAAATTTTTAAGTGATATAACTGATCATGGCTTAAGACTGACTCTTACTTCTACTTTGATTAATGTTAATATTTGATTGAAAAATATAATTTTAAATACCTGTTGACAGGTAATATTAATCAAGATAATTTAGAAGTGAGGTTACAATTTTATACATAATGTGAAATTTTTACATGTGTATCTTAAATCTTGAATTCAATCACAGTCTTTACTAATATTATTATTGCTTACATTAGATATGTTTTGGTACAATACGTGAAGCTGCTGGCAGCAACGAACATCCGACTTGTCCAACATTTTTGCAGCTATACAGATTGCTATCTGTATACAGTTTAATCAAACCTCCTGCATATGGTAATTGTAC